CAGGACTTCTGGGAAGGAGCCCGGCAAGACCCTTTCCCCAGCTGCGCGCCCCGGGCCTGGCCCTGCCTGCGGCTCTACAGGCGGCTTCTTTCCGCCGCTCGCGTCGGACATCGTGCACGGCGCTCTCCTCGCAAGCCTCGCCTCCCCCGCCCGCCCCCCGAGATATGGCCGGAGCCGTGCGACCCGCCGCAGCTGACGACGCGGGCAGCTACCGCGCAGGCGCCCAGCAGCTCCCCCGCCTCCCTCCATCCCTACCCCGCCTGCGGACAGGCTCCGGCATATTAATTATTCATGAGGCCAGGCCAGCGTCCCCGGATCGCGGCCTTGGATTGGCCCACCCTGTGAGGAGGGCGGGCGCAGCCTTCCAGGCTGTGATTGGTTAATCTGCCGGGGGTAAGTGGGATACGTGCCGGGCCAGGTGAGGAGCAACGCTGGAGGCCCAGCCCCGTCCGCCCGTGTCACCTGATTGGCGCCTGCTGGAGTCTGTGTCATAGGCCCTCTTCGGCTGCAGCTCCTTTCCCTCTACCAGAGGTTTCACCTTCGCCTTCTTCTTCATAATCCCCGCTCTCCTCTCAGACCACCGTAACCGCTCTCCCTTTCCTCTTATCCCAATCTCGTCACCTTCGGGACGCGCCACTGAAGGGAGGCGGGGCTGGGAACGGCCTGGGGAGCCTATCAGAGAGCCCGCTCGGGCCGCATGGCCCTGCCCCCCTCGGGTCACGTGGAGCCCCAGCCGAGTCCAGTCGCGCGGGGAGGGGGAAGAGGGGAAAGGTGCGGAACAGCCAATGGAAGGCGGGGGCGGGGCCTGGGTTGGTGCACGAGGCGCAGCACGTGCCGGGCTGCGGCGGGGAGGGGAGGAAGGGGAGGAGGGAAGGGCCTTTTTGTTCCTGGGGCTCTGCCCAGGATCCTGGGGCCAGGACGCAGAGCCGAGCCTTCACCCCTCCTCCCTTGCGACCCAGAGGTTGGCTGAGGGCAGGGCGGCGGACCACGATTTGCCTTTCCCATAGGGATGGCGGGAGCAGGCTTGGTCGCCGCTGAAGGGGGTGTCGGGTTCCTCACAGATCCCGGGTTTCTGGTGCAGGCGTGGCGGCCAGATAAACACTAGCATGGAGGGAGCATTTTTGAAGCCGGGGTAGAGTGGGGTAGGGTGGAGTGGAGATAAAGGGCCCAGCTCTGAGCCAGGGCCGGGGTACACGCTTTTGTCTTTCCTCTTACTAGCTGTGACCTTGGGAAAGTCCAGTTGCTTCACTTGAGCCCGTTTCCTCATTTACAGAATTAAAGGGTTAGACTAGACAACCTCTAAAATTCTCAACAGCCCTGAAATTCTGTTCTTGTCTAGGACCTGTCTATCCTTTTCCTAAGGACAAAACACAACCAAACTCCTTTACACAGGGTACCATTTATACATTTTGTGGAAGAACCACCTCCTCTCTGAAAACACAAACACTCCCTGGGAGTTCCTTAGGAAACTCGAAAATGTAAAATCTGAGGGGCACACATGTGGAGAACGTTATAGGCAGCTGCTTCTAAGCAGTGCCCAGAACTTTGTACCTCTTTATAGAACAAATCATACTCTGCTTTGAACCCAGACAATACTAGACCCTCCCTGCCTAAACGCCCAGAGGGCAGAGACTTTGGTCTGTTTATACTGTATCCTGCCAATGGCCTCAGCCTTCCAG